GGAGACCCATCAGGATGTAATCTACTGCTATTTTTTTAAAATATATTTTTATTGATTTCAGAGAGGAAGGGCGATGGAGAGAGAGAGATAGAAACATCAACGATGAGAGAATCATTGATTGGCTGCCTTCTGCATGCCCCCTACTGGGGATTGAGCCCACAACCCAGGCATGTGCCCTTGACTGGAATCGAACCTGGGACCCTTCAGTCCACAGGCTGATGCTCTATCCACTGAGTCAAACCAGCTAGGGCTCTACTGCTACTTTTTAAAAAAATCCATTACCTATTACTACAATAACGCTGTGTTAGTCCGCCAAACAGACACACACAGGTAAAGCCCAGTGGCATAAAGTGATGAACATTAATTCAGCTCAGTGGCAGCTTTTCTGGTCTGTTCTCACTCCTGTGTTGTAGTCAGCTGGTGGCTGAGCTGGGGAGTAGCTGGTCCAGGATGGCCTTGGATGGGATGTCCCGGCTCTGGTCCAAGAGGTCTCTCAGTCTTCAGCAGACTAGCTTGTCCTTGTTCTCCTGACAGATACAGGATGCTAGAGAGCACACAGGAGGGGGCTGCAGGGCCCTCCAAGCCCAGGCTCAGCGCTGTGCTTACTGCCTTCTGTGGGCAAGTTAGGAGGCTGACAGATTTCAGGGGGCGGAAATGAGCTCCACTTCATAGGCTACTGGATAAAGAAAAGGAAAGGATTGGGGCCATTTTGCAATCAACTCAGCGGGTCTTCGTCACTGCAGCAGCTTCCACATTTTCCAGGATATCACAGTGATCTCAGATTTCAGAAGCTGGCGCCTGACTCCCCGGCCCTACGGGCTATTGATGAACTCATTCCCCTCTCCCTCCAGCGACCAAAATAAACACAATTAATTGATTATTGTAGTCTGCTGATGAACTTGGAAGTGACTTTAGAATCTTTCGGAATTGGATTTACGAATTGAAATCTATCACTCAACACTGCGCTTCTGAGCAGTCAGAAGTAGCTCAGGAGCCACCACAGACCCGCAGGGGCAGCATGTGAGCACTGCCTGGTTAGTGATAGGTGACTCCACCCCTAGAGTTTAACCTTGACCCTATGGGTCCCACTATGAGTCACTGTAGCCAATTACAAGACCCGTGATCATCTATCTACACAACTGAGAGGCAGAAGAGCTAGGCCTTGGTCAAGGAAGGCATGTTTTTCCTCACAAGGATGGCATGTTAGGCTTAAGGGGGGGGGCGGGGGGAGCTCCTTGGAGCTTCTCTGGGTTAAGATACAGTGTCATTGTGTTAGTTTTGAAATTATCAAGGATAGTAAATGTGGTTACAATATTAGAAATTCTCAGGGATGGCACAAACCAAACCTGATCACATTAGATAACATCTTGGGTCTGAATTTAGCACATGGATGAAGTCATTCTTTGGTTGTTCTCCTATAATCCTGAGCATTGGAGAAGGTGAAGGGGACTGGGAGCTGCAAGGGAGGAGGGGAGTCCCTACTGCAGGAGTGACATCCTTCCCTGACATGCCTGAGCCTAGCCAGCCCAGGTGAGCCACGGAGAGTGGCTGGAAGCAGGGGGCAGGATTCTCCACAAGGTAAAAGGTCTCGCTCTCAGCTTGGCATTAGCTAATTCTGTGTCCATTACGGTAACACGGCTTCCATAGACCCATTACGGATCCCTGGGGGTTTCAGAGAGGCAGATACAATTCATCAGCTTTTCTTCAGAGGTATCTTTGGGCTCAAACACACGCTGTGCTGCAAACGTCACATAATCATAGTGATTATAGCCCCATTTTACAGGGAGCTGAGAATGGTGAAGTTAATTTGCCTGTGGTTCCAGGGGAATCAGTTATAGAGTCAACATTCAACTCAGACACATGATGCTAAAGCCTACATTCTTTTTTTTCTTTTATTTATTTTTTAAGATATGCAAAATAAATATATTACCAGATTGTAGATACAAAATAATTAGCCTTTTACATGCAATAAACATTACTATTTCAAGAAAAAAATATTTTAAATATAATATTACTAAAACTGTACTAACATAGTATAATAACACAAAAGTTGAAAGGAAATATTAAGAATCTTCAAATAACAGGATTACTTCTATTATATTCTAAGATATTTTTTTCCTCTGGCTCTATTTTTGTTCATCAATTTATGTTCATTATATTCAACAAATGAGTGACATCATGTGATATTTATCTTTCTCCGACTGGCTTATTTCGCTTAGCATAATGCTCTCCAGGTCCGTCCAGGCTAAAGCCTACATTCTTGACCACTATTCTCTATGACATCTCAAGGACAGGAAAGCTTTGAAAAAGGTAGGGTTTGGTCTGATTTGCTTCAGGGATAAGCTTCAAGGAGGGAATGCCCACTCCAGATTACAGAGAAGAGGAAGCAGCCAGAGCTGGATTACAGGCACCACATGGATCTGAGCCACTTCCCTGTGGAGTTCCTCAAAGACACAGCGCACCCCCAGTGGCCTTCCCAGGATGCATCGGTTGGTCAAGTAGGACTCAGCTCACCGAAAGGCAGGCCCAGTAGCAGGCGAACTGGGGAGGGTATCAAGCTTCAGGGCTCAGGTGCACGACAAACCTTCAGGGGTGGGATCTGGACATGTACAGATTACTTGGAGCTTCACAGAGGTGAAGAGTTGCCCATTGCTGCCAGGCCAGTGTGGCTAGTCGTTGAGGGTCAACCTAGAAACCAGGAGGTCACAGTTTGGTTTCAGGTCAGGGCACATGCCTGGGTTTTGGCTCAATCCCCAGTAGAGGGTGTGCAGGAGGCAGCTGATCAATAATTCTTTCTCATCATTGATGTTTCTATCCCTCTATCCCTCTCCCTTCCTCTCTCTGAAATCAATGAAAACATGTATATTTTTTTAAAAAGTGTTGCCCATTGCAGAGTCTAGTAAGTGGGAGCTGGTGTACAGAAGAGCAGGAAGGGGAGGGGAAAATGTTGAGGAGATGTAAACTGGTAACACATGTCCACCTGCTGTCAGTCTGGAGTGACCAGACAGGTGAGCAGGCCCTGCCATGGAACAGGGCACAGTAGCAGGGCCAGGTGTTGGGGAACAGGTAAGGCCAGTAATGAGAAGGCAGGCGCATCAGCACTGCAGGGAGTAAAGCAAAAAGAGAGGCTGATTGTAAGATGCATCTATTCCTCAGCCCCTCACACCCTCAGTTACCAGACCCACGACAGACCCTCGAGGGGACAGCCTGAGAACAGGTCATTTGAGGATGCCACCGGAGGTCCCTTTAGTGGCCCCCAGGGGAAGACTGCATTGATCCTCCTCGCCCAGGACTGAACCCACAGACTTAGAGTTATAACGTGTCCCTTGCAGGGAGACAGGAAATCCAGACGGTTTTCACAGTTGGCAAAGGGGAGAGATTTTATCCGCCTTGAATGTCTTTCCCTCCTGTGCCCGATCATCTGTGAGGCCCTGCTTTCGTACACGTCCAAGATTTCAGAAACAGAGCCTGCTGGGCTCTATTTAAGTTGTTATTTTTTACGTTGTAGCATTTTGAATCAGTAAATTGTCACAGTCCCTTACTGGGTTGGTCCAGAGGAACATGAAATTGGCAGGAATTACAGAGGAGATTCGAGTTGGCCACGTCAGAACTTCCTAGTCTGAAGGGCACTGGCAGGAGAGAATGAAGTTATTTCCGTTGCTCTCATACTAGCTCTATTTCTCTGCCCTTTTCCTTCCTCTTTGGAACATTTCTATTCCTCTTTCCTTCTGTATTTCATGCATTTATTTTATTTTTTTAATCCTCACCCAAGGATATGCATATGCTTATTGATTTGAGAGACAGAGAGAAACATCCATGTGAGAGAAACTATCAATTGGTTGTGCCCTGACCTGGGACAGAACCCACAACCTAAGTGTCCTGACCAGGAATCGAACCCCCAGCCTTTCAGTGTACAGCAAGCATGTCAAACTCAAAGACTAACACGGGCCAAATAAACAAGGTTTAAGTTTCTGTGGGCCGCAAAAAAAAACAAAAGCTTCAATTTTCATAGAAACGTAGGTTTATTTCAATAGAGACATGCTGAATTCAAAGGGCTGAAATAAATGAGTCATCGTTAACACAAAATAATAGAACATTTTAATAAAAAGTAATATTTTTTCTTGAATATTAACTTACCAGACACTGAATAACTGCACAAATTAATAAGCATAACGCAAATAAACCTATTTTTCTTGTTCTCCAAAAGCGAAATATTTCCTGCAGTGCACACCAAACAAGTCAGTCCAAGACTAATGATGTGGCCATCGGCTGCTAAAATATTCGCTGCTAGTATTAGTGGGGAGACATGATGCACCTCCTCGGAAGGTGTGGAAGGGAAATGAATGCAACACAATTACAATCATCAGTCATTAGCAAAGGTTGTAGCTCATTATTAATAACTAGAGGCCCAGTGCACGACATTTGTGCATGGGGGGTGGTCCCTCAGTCAGGCCTGCACCCTCTCGCAATCCGGGACCTTTTGGGGGATGTCCAACTGCTGCTTTAGGCCCAATCCTGTGGACATTCCTCTCCCAATCTGGGACTGCTCGCTCCTAACTGCTCGCCTGCCTGCCTGATTTTGCCCCTAAAACTCAAGCTGCATCTTTTTTTATTTTTAATATTTATACTTCTTTATTTTTTATTTTAAAACCCAAGCTTCTTGAGAACATGAGGCGATTAACATCATTCCATATTCCTTTCAGAGATCTAAGCGTGGTAAACACAGCAAATACTCAGTACTTACGGCTCTATACAAACACTTTCCACCCAGGCAGCCTCCAACACTGGAACTGTGACCCTAAAAGTCGAGGCAGATTTCAGGCATCAGGCCTATTAGCAGGATTTCTACCCCAATTAAACCAATTACACTCTAATTCTGAGCGCTCAACAGTCGGGACTAACTGCCCTTCACTGTCTCCTAAGTTTCTTATTCCTCACTGTTCACTATCCCCAAAGTTTCTTATTCGTCACTATCCCATTTTCCTCTGCTTCAAACCAAGGTAACAAATTAAACCTTTAATTCTGATCTTCCTCGCCGCAAGGGAACAGCAAACCTCAATCGAAATAATTTCCCGCCAAAAGTCACGTCCAAATGCTGCGAGACTGAGGACGATAGGGCTGACTATGCACATGTGCAATCACAGGCCCACGTTCTAGCGGTAGGCGCCCAGGCTCCTCCATGATCCCACAATCCTCTGGTCGCACACTTCCGGTTTCTCTAGCTCCTCCTTAAGTGGTGTTTCCTTCAGTCCTGATGCAACCTCCAGGGCCTCTAGCTGGAGAGGGTTTTTCTGTTTGGCGTTGATAGCTGTTCACTATTTGGAATCAGTGAAGTTTCGGGAGCACAGCCGCTGCCATGAACATGTCGGTCCCAAGCGGACTCATGAGACAACCGCCCGTTCAGTCCCCGGCTGGTGCCGTCCTGGTTCGCAATGAGAAAGGTACTTCCTCTTCCTTCCCCAGCACACTCCACACCTACTCCGGGCGACCACCCCAACCTTCCCCCCTGTTTCTTCGACTTTCCCCCATCAAACTGGTACTCTATAGTGTTGCCTAGGGGCGCCCCTAACTGCTCCCTGGGGGTGGGGCCAGCCTGGGCCAGGGGCCTGGTGTTCTGGTCTCTGGTTGTTCTGGTTGTTATGGTCACTGGCTTTTTATATATATGTAGAAGATTATGTATAACAGGATATTGTAAAAATTAAGTTATGAACTTTTTACTAAAACGTTTCTTACAGCCGAAACCGGTTTGGCTCGGTGGATAGAGCGTCGGCCTGTGGACTGAGGGGTCCCGGGTTCGATTCCGGTCAAGGGCATGTACCTGGGTTGCGGGCACATCCCCAGTGGTGGGTGTGCAGGAGGCAGCTGATCGATGTTTCTCTCTCATCAATGTTTCTGACTCTCTATCTCTCTCCCTTCCTCTCTGTAAAGAATCAATAAAATATATTTTAAAAAAAACCAAAACAAACAAACAAACAAAAAAATCATTTCTTACATACCATTATATTGGCTTGGCCACAAGAATAGTTGTTGTGGGCCGCATGTGGCTTGTGGGCCGCAAGTTTGACATGCTTGGTGTGCAGGCTGACACTCCAACCAACTGAACCACACGGGTCAGGGCTCACTCACTGATTTTATTAGAGCTAAAAGAGAGCTTCATTGCTTTGAACTTGGTCGTGACTGGAGGAACAGAAAGGGAGGTGCTATCATCCTGTGCAGGGGGAGAGCACAGGGACAACAGCCTTGTATTAAATTTGTGTTCTCTTTTTTGTTGAGTGTGACTATAGTTCTGTACATTTTATTTCATCCTTTAAACATGTATGTTCCTGTGTTATGATTAAGTGTAGTAAAATGAAATATATGAAAAGTTAAAAAAAAACACCACACACAACACCGCACTTCTGTGGAGTGTTTGTACTTTACTGTTTTTTACTCTTACCAGCCCTTATTTCATTGTGCTCTTTTTGTCTATTGGCCGCCTTTCTTTATTTCCCCCTTTTGTTCCCCGGGGCCAGTCCTTTAATCCCAGTTCCATGTTCCATTAGGATTTGCTGATGCAGAACACCTGCCAGGCAATAGGGGTCCATTCTGGCTAGAGAATCAGCTCTCTCCTCTTTCTCTCTCCTTCCCTCTCTACCCCCTCCCTCCTCTCTTCTCCCTTCCACTCTCCTTCCTCATCTCTTTCATTGCCTTCCTGTCATCCCTTCTCTTTTCTCTTTTTCATCCATCTCATCCCTTCTCATTTCCCTATCTCATGTGATCCTTCCCATAATAATAGTTTTATCAGGAAAATGGCAGCAACTGATGGAGTCAGTATACTGTCACAAGACCAGGGAAATTCAACACCAGTGGTGACTGGATATCCCTCGAGCCCATGTGCCCATCCAGTTAGGTAGGAAGAGGAGTCCAGGAGACAATAAGGACATTTCGGGATCATCATCTCAAACTTGCAGGCAGATAATCTTAATAAAGCAAGTAGCAGTGCAAGTAAAATTTACCCACAAGGTGAGTTTGAACCTTCCACATTCAATTTTAAATCCGTCAGAGGACAGACACCGTAGAGTGCTGTTTGAGAGATACCTCACTGTGTGGTTTAATCAAGTCATGAAAGGCTTTCAGAGGGGGCTTACGGGCTCCACTGGACAAATAATTGTTTGTCTAAGTCTGTGGTTCCCAAACTTTAAAGAACCTAAGGCTCCCTTGGTGGCTCATTAAAATGCAGATTCTTGGGCCTCCTCGCTAGAGACCCTGGTTCAGTGTGTCTACCAACGGGTCCAAGAAGCTGCGTACCAGACAGGAAGCTGCATGCTAGACAAGAAGCTGCATGCTAGACAAGCTTCTCAATGGTTCTACAACAGGTCATTCGTGGACTACACGCTGCAGCCGCTGCTTACATGAATAAAGACTGTGGTTTTTTTGAGGGGAGCGTGAGGAAAAGTTGTCAGTCCTCCTTGATATAACACAAGTATTTGAGTCCTCGCCGTATCAAAGTTCAGTGCAGGGCATTGAGTGGGAGGCAAGGAAGCAGAAGCCCAGGCTGTATGCGCTGTTCTCCAC